TGCGAGCAATTTAGTTGTTTTTCTACAATAATAGATGCATGCTGTATGTGTATGACTATGAATATGCGTGCTTGTGTGTATTTCTCTTGTAGTGTTGGTAAGAGCGAGTATTACAGAAGAGTAATGGACATCGTATAGCTAGCTAGCTAGCTAGCGTTGAAATTTCTGTGTGTCTGAGAGAGATAGAGAAAGACAGAGAGAGAAGTGAATGGAAGCTGATGCAGAATATTATTATTATTATTATTATTATTATTATTATTATTATTATTATTATTATTATTAGCATTTAATATTTATTTATATTTAGTGACTTGGTGGACAAGATAGATTTAGGGTTTGAGTGTCTTATTTAAAGACCTCTCTTATTTGTTATTCGGTAGTTGAATTTAAGAATGAATTAAAATTGTCGTGTTTTTTCTGGGAGAGTATCCCAAGTTCGAGAGAGTATCTCGTATCGTATTTCCCTTTCGTTCACGCTTTTCCCTACATCAGTTGGTATCAGCAGTCAGTACGATCGCGATGTCGCCGGGACGAGAAGATGCCGTAAACAAACAACGTGATGCCACCTTCAACGATCGGTTTCAACATATTGATTACCGATTTGAACAGTTGGACGTGCGTTTCACAAATTTGTTTGCCGATCTTTCGACGGGGATCGAGGATGTGTGTTTGACGCCGAACAACGTGGTTACGGAATGGCAGACGGACCGTGATGGAGGCCGTGACTATCGCGGGGGATACAGAGGCGGTCGTTGGGGAAGCAACCATGTCGGGGCGCCCCGGCAGCGATCCCATCCACCTCTGAACGGCAACGGCGTTGACGACTCTACCGGGTCGGCTAACCCGTTTACAGATCGGTCACCATGGCAAGGAGCCAACAACACGGTCAGTCCCGAATTCCTAAGCAGCTGCGGGCTGGAGGAGGTTGTTTCGGACATGGTGGCGAGCGCGACGATGAGAAAACCCTCAGGGCTGTTCGATTTCGCAGTCAACAGCAATATGAGGAGGGTTTTGACTACCACTTTCCGCTCCACCGCACAGTCCAAGGTGGCGATTTCCGGAGAACGGCTTCAGGTTTATGCCCCAATCAGGAATTTCGCATCCACAGTCGGCCTGCAGATTTTTTTTCTTACCCATTTTTGCTCAATCGTACGACCCTAGATGGAGATTTCCGGCGATCTGCTGCAGACGGAAGGTCGCGCGGAGCCTTGGACGGGGATTTTCGTCGGGCTTCTAGTGGCGTTGACGGCGCACGGAGGTGGCCGCAAGAAGGTCTTCGCGCCGCTGTCGACGGCGGCGCCTTCCTTGTCCGCGAGCCGCGCTGGGCCGATGGAGGTTTTGCCACAGCCGGAGAGCGCAATTGGAGGCGGAAGGCGACTGGTTTTGGCGACGGCGGGGTCCGCGAAACTCGACGGAGCCAGCCCTGGACAATGGTGGTTTTCGATGGTACAGGGCACGACCGACGAGCGAACAACGCCGGATTAGCAGAGGTGCAGCGACGGATTTCGAGATTTGGAAGGTATCGCGATTTGGGAGATGTGCAGAGACGACGAATTGATGTGCAGAGAAAAGGCGCTGAGGAGAGACAAATAGGAGGTCAGGAATTTTTTCTTCTTGGGCCTGTGCAGAGACAACACAATTTCATTTTTTGGGCCCAGGTGATGGATGCATTTAATCATAAATTGTGGTCCTGTGAAGTAGCTGCGACACTGGGACTTGTGCAGAGGGAGTATGGCAGCGACTTTGGTCAACGGGTGGGTCCGTTTTGCGCTGACATTTTTTACTATGACGAGGATCACGTTGACGGACCAATTTACGACGGTCCGCCCGTTTTTTATGAGGAGTCTCGGGTGCCGAAGATATATTTTCGCAATAATATGGGTCCCGCATGGGACGTCACAACGATTAAGTCTTTGAATGGGAAGTCGTCATTCACACCCGATTTTTTGAGTATTTTAGCCAAATATAGTTTTTCGGAGCCGAAGCCGATTCCCGATAATTGGTGGACCATTTTCCGATTTCTTTTCGCGAATTCTCCCGACAACAAGATGATGCTTGGCCGTTGTTATAATTTTGAGCGCGGCAAACGAAGTGGTGTATTTAGTGTTCATTCGATTTTGCGGGTTTCGCGCATGGTGACGGGTACATATGTCTTCCCAGTAGTTTTGTCCTTGACCGAGATTCTGTTTACGTTCGAGGTTGTTGGAGGACCTTCAACATTCGTGTTTGATCGAGGAAAATCTCGGGGCTACTCCCACGGGAACGTGTCGGATTCGAGGGCGAATCCTGCTCAACAGGGGGAGAATGATGCAGAATATTATTATTATTATTATTATTATTATTATTATTATTAGCATTTAATATTTATTTATATTTAGTGACTTGGTGGACAAGATAGATTTAGGGTTTGAGTATCTTATTTAAAGACCTTTCTTATTTGTTATTCGGTAGTTGAATTTAAGAATGAATTAAAATTGTCGTGTTTTTTCTGGGAGAGTATCCCAAGTTCGAGAGAGTATCTCGTATCGTATTTCCCTTTCGTTCACGCTTTTCCCTACATCAGAAGCCCTATTTGTGATCCATTCTGAAACATCTAATTTACAAAGTGCTGAACCCCTTTTTCACCAGTTTGGCAATGCTTTCCATATTCAGCAAACATATATGGTCCCTCCATGCTCTCCTCCCCAACCTAACCCTTCATTTCCTTCCTTGAAGAAATTACAAAACCATTTCAAGAACAACCGTAAAATCCATGGCTCGTGGTAAGATCCAGATCCGGAGAATAGAAAACCAAACCAACAGGCAAGTAACCTACTCCAAGAGAAGAAATGGGCTCTTCAAGAAAGCTCATGAACTCACTGTTCTCTGCGATGCCAAGGTTTCCATTATCATGATTTCCAGCACCCAGAAGCTTCACGAATACATCAGCCCCATCACCTCGTACGTACGTCATATAACTAATTATCCTCTCCTCCTCCTCCTCCCATGTCCCATCAGGGTTAACTAATTTAGCTATCCAGTTTTTGGTCGATTCATATCTCTACTGTAATTTCACTTTTAACTATATGCATGCGCGTTTTACTAGGACTAAGCAGATGTTTGATCAGTATCAGCAGGCTACTGGAATTGATATTTGGAATACACACTATGAGGTTTCTCATCTTCTTCAGCTCTTCTTCTTCCTACTTTTTTTTTTTTTTTGTTTTTTTCCTTAATTGTGGGGATTTTGGGCGAGATTTGCTATTTTTATTTGTGCAGAAAATGCAACAACACTTGAATAAGCTGAAGGATATTAACAGAAATCTGAGACGGGAGATTAGGTATGTAATTTAAACTAGTTTTAGTTCACTTTCCTCTCTCCCGGCCCGGTGCCGAAAGTGTATTCCGGATCAACTTTTGGGATCTGATTGGTGCAGGCAAAGAATGGGGGAGAGCTTGAACGATCTGGGGTACGAACAGATGGTGAATTTGATAGAAGATATTGACAACTCTCTGAGGCTTATTCGTGAAAGGAAGGTGTGAATTTCTCTCGTGGGTTTTGATGAAATTATTCACCAAGAACGTGTCAGCATAAATGAATTAATTATAAGGTTTGTTGGTATGTGTGTGTGTGGGAGAATTTAATTAGGGTTATTCAATTGTCGACCTTAATCTATGGAATGATTAAATCAGTCATCATTTCAATTTGGGTGCTGTGATTCATGAAGTTAATTGATTACAGCTGCTAGCCTTTAGTTTTTTCATGGAAAATTAGGGTGGAAACTTTTCAGATGTTCAGAAATTGATGAGCTATTTTTGAGCGTATGAAGCAAGACGGATGAATTATTTGCAGGCAATTTTGGGATACTTTGAGTGAGCATCCAATGTTGGAAATTTCTTACATACTGTATAAGAAATAATTTTTTAGCTCTACGATCTAAGTTTTATTATTATTATTAAAAAGTGCATTCTCCCACAAAAAAACGAAAACCAAATTAAATAGAGAACACGAACACAATCCAATTAAAGTGCATTCTGTGTTATAGTATATTGCAACTTTTGTCTTCTCCATGGCTCAAATTCAAAAGCCCAATTTTCCATCTGCCCAATTTTCCATCTACGTATGTATATATACAACATCTATCAACTCGATCGAAGGTGAATAATTACCGATCGAGTTGTTATTTGGTTCATACGCATGCAGAGGTTGCGAATCAAGTGGAAAGGATTTCAAAGCTCACCAAGACCATAAACAGCGGCAGCAAAGAAAAGAGGTTGAAGAAGAAAACTGAACTTCTCACGCTTGCCTCATATTAGATATATGTGTGTGTGTGTGTGTCTATGGATGTATGTATATCCCCTTGCAGTTAAAACAAATATGCAAGTGGCAAGCGTGGAAATCGAGATGTGGAGCGTGCAACTGAATCTTATTGTTCAAATACTAATTTCTACTAATTTCTACTCGGGAATAATAATTTTTTTTTGGCTTGCAGCTCTTGACTTACAGCAACATACGTGAATTTCTTATTTCACGTCAGTCTTCTTGAGACAACAGGTCTTTTCCAAAAAGGTTCATCCTTCATCCATGCACACATACGCACTCCCATGACCTTTTCCGTGTGCCAATCTGTTCTGTGTACATTACATACCCATGCACAGATACTTAAAAACAAAGTTTTCTTGACTTTTCTTGCTTTGCGTGCAAATTCATGCACTAACTCATATACACACGCATCTATGCTTTTTTTTATCCTTATGCATGTCTCGCTTGACGTGCCAATTTATTTACTTGGTAATACGTCGACCGGCCTCATGGGCCTGCGCAACTTTCCTTTTCCGGCGTATGGATCGCAAGCCTGCTGGTGGCAGAAGAAGGGCAGCGCTTCTATCAAAAATACAGCGCTCTTATCAAAAATACGGCGCTCTTATCAAGCCGGTGCCTCGTAAGATACAGATTCAAGGGGTTGCTCCAGTTCTATCTCACCCCCGATACCTCCCAATTCACAGTAATACCTAAAGTCGACATCATCTATTAAATTTTCAAAAGAGTCGACAAGCGATACTTCTACCGGACCATTACCTTGAGGATGGCGAGGGTTTGCACGAGGCTGATCCGCATCAGATTCCTCGTCGGGTCCTGGGGCGACGGCGGGATGGACGATATTACGGGGAGCGACATTCTGAGGCTGGTCCGCTTGACCCAGCGCCTGCTCCAAAGCATCTTGGTTGGGATTAGCCATATCAAAAGATGAGGAAGTTCCGAAACGATAACAAAAAGACGGCTCAATTTTGAAATAGCAACAAGGAACTGGCAATCGATAAATTTAAGGGCTTGGAATGAAGAAAAGTGGAGAAAGAGAGGCAAGTTCCCCTGGCCTTGCTATTTATACCAAGAAAGACAAAGGTCAAGGCGGGAGAAAAGTTGGGTCAAAACCCAAGACCCGATTTTAAAACGGGGCACGAGCGGTCAGTTATCCCTAGAAACGTGCGATCATGATGGCAACAGTTACACGTGTAGTGGGGAATTTAATGCTGGGGGCAGAAGGGCCCACCACTGCAACAAAGCTGCAGCCAACCTCTGACCGCAGGATCCTCACAGATGAACAGTCCAGATGACTTCCCTGGTGCCTATTGTTAGAAAAAACCGGAAGACCCTTGAGGACTACAAGCTGGTGCAGCAAATCACTAAGTATAAACTAGTCGGACTCCTGAAGGATGCTGCTCCAGAAGACCGAGTGGCATATGATGAAGTCAAAAATCACTAAGTGTGATTTGCTACTAAGTGCACCCTAACCGAGCTTAAGAGATGGTCAATAGTCAACGACAAAATTGGGCCGAGGTCACCCAAGCCCATCACTATTAGGCCAAAGGAAGCCACAATGAAGTTGGTCCTACAACCACCTCGGATCGGTCGGCCCAGACCACCAACACCTCGGACCTGGGCGCCTCAGCATCGGCTATGACAGGTTCCAGCTTCCCCATCCTTGGTCCGATGGGCACGTCGGACCGGATGACAGAGGCCTCGGACAGAAGCATGCGTGAGTCTATCTTCTTGGAGACACCACTAGCATGTCAGAGGCCCATGACGCCCCATAACGCTCCACTATCTGGGAAACTGCAAATACAGAGCCCATACTTCCTGACAGGACAGAACCTCAGTCAGAGGAATAAATACATCACGTCAAGTAAATCATCTAACTGATTTTTTCTCATTCAACACAACAGATTCTAGACTTTCCATATGGTCTTCCTTCAAGTTATTTTTCCTTGTTTTCCTCCTGAAACTTCCCACTGACTTGATCGTCGGAGGTACAACGGAAACGAGGATCCCGTTTCCCATTTCGTTTCTTCTCAGGTTTCATTCTCCGTCGCCGATCAGCCTGCTGATAAGGACACCGGACGGCCAAACGCAGTCCAGCCCAATCCATCCCGATCTGCTCGGCCCAAGATTACAGGTCTTAATCCTTATTTAAACGAACTATGAGCGATTAGTGAAAACTGACCGCATCAATCAGCAACGGAGAAGCGAATCTTAAAACAGTAACACGTCGGACAAAGATAGACGACAGCAAGAACAAAGATTCCATGTGTCACTGAAACATGCATAACATGCTTTGTATTTGTAATGTACTAAGTATACAGTAATAGAATGAAATGACAAAAATATCATGTACTAGAGTAGATGGGATGATCAGGTGACCAACCCGATCGAACCCACCACCAAAACTATGATATGATTTCTGCTGCGCTTTCTTAATTCCTCTTCCTCGGCCACATGATTTTAAAGAAAATATTCCCCCATGCATCCAGGTTGAAAAATGAATCACATTAATGGATTCAAAATTATGTCTCAAACGTTTTTATATAAAAAAAATATATATAATATAAATACTAATATAACTATTTTGGATAACTTTTTGGCAAGTGTAGGATGAGTTTTCACCGGGCTGACACTTTTTTTTTTTTTTTGGTTCTTGTCAAATAATTAATACTATCATTAAGAAATAAATAAAAAAATATTAATGGTTTTATTATGCATCCATTTATCGTGATTCAATATTTTGGACGTAGTTCTAATATAATTCAAAAGTATATGATATGACTCTAAAAAAAAGGAGCATGCATGAGAGCATTTCATAAAACATATGCAGCTAGCTGGCGATCTATTTGACTATTTCAAATTCTACCTTATTAATTTGGTTACATTTGATGAAATACAATATAATATCATATTATATATACTGATGAGTTTTTCTGGGGTGCCGATCCAGAAGGTGGAGGAATTGAATTGAATTTGAAAGATATTTTTGTTTGGCATTAGTTCGTTGGTTCGAACAAGCACCTGGAACCACAGAAAAAGGGAAGATCTTTGAATATTTTATTTCCTTACTTAAGTTTATTTTATATTCCATATCTAAGATTGTGTAAGTCTTATTATGGTATTTTTTATATGTTAGGAAATCAGATGAGAATAAAGAAAGGAAAGGAGGAAGATTACATAATATATATCTTATATATTCACTTACCATATATGCCACATACCATAATTGGTTCTCTCTTTCTTGTAGGACAAGTAATAAGTGGCAAGGACTATGAAAGGATGGGAATTTCGTGAATACGGATTTCTGGACGTTCATGAGAAGATTTAAGGAGGATTTGGAAAGATTCACCACAAGATCTTTGAAGATTTAGAAGATCCGCTATTTTTGGAAAGTCATGTTCTTACCAGAATCTGGGAACGCGTTTTTCCATTGGAAGCTCAATTCTGAAGATCTCCAAATCACATGCACGATTTCTACATCAAGGAAACTTACCTTACATGGAGGATTTCGTCCAAATCAGAAAGGAATCAATTGAGAAGGATATTGACTCCTAAAAGGTAAAGGAAGAACTGTGAAGACTTCTTACCTTAAGGAGATTGTATATAAGCCTGCTCAAGCAATCAATTGAAGTGAAGAGAGAGCTGCTGCAAATCGAGTTCATCATTCATCAGCTTCAATTGAGTGTTTGAGAGTTTCTATTATTTTTATTTTATTCGGTCCAGTTTTTCAGCGTTCTTACAGTGCTGAAGAACTGAACTCGTTTTGTTTCTTCTCTTTTACAAACACTTTGTTTTAGTGCTTAGGGATTAAGTACTGGGTTTTGCTCGAGGGATTCGAGTGTATAAAGTCCACGGGACGTAGCCGGAGAAGTAGTTGATAGGATCGTGTGTAGTTGTGGCTAGACTAGAAGGGAGTTCGAGTCGTGTAAGTCCAAACTATACAAGTGTGAACGGTTTATCAATGAAAGAGCTCTGAGGGGAAGTGGGACGCTTCCCTGAAGAGTTTTTAAAATCTTCGGTTTATTGCTTCCGCTATTTACGTTGTTTATCCACGTTCGTACTACATTTCGCGCACTCGAGAAATTATACGTTTCAATTGGCACCAGAGCAGTGTTCCTGTTCTAACTACGGGATAAAGATCTTTGGGACTGTGTGTCGGTCACCATGAACCACGTCATGTCTGTTTCGCGCCTGCCATTCCTCGATGGTTCGAACTATGTAT